TTCTGTCATGCCGTTGGGCATTGGTACAGAAATTGTAGACTCTACCTAGAAGATCAGGAGAAGAAGAAGCTTAAAGAAGCTTCGACTTACTGGTGTCTTCGTTATAGAGGCTAATTTATTTACTTCTACATCGTCATCCAAAACATGGACATTTGTGGAAATGTGCAAGGACTGCGAAGAAGTAGACAATTGGCAAAAGGAGAAGTAGATCTCCGCGTTGGGAATGGAGCAAAAGTTGTTGGATTAGCCGTCGGAACTTACGATCTGACTTTACCTTCTAGACATGTATTGGAGTTGCATAATTGCTATTATGTTCCTACCGTCAGCAAGAACATTATGTCGATTTCATGCTTAGACTCGAATGGTTTTAGATTTATTATTGAGAACAAATGTCTGTCCATTTATAGAGGTGATTTATTTTATGGTAAAGGTTACCATATTAATGGCCTTTATATTTTGGATGACGAACCGTCTAGATGCAGGTCGATCTATAACGTTTGTACTAAACGGTTTAAGCCGAACGACTTGAACCCGACCTTCCTCTGGCATTGTCGTCTAGGCCATATAAACGCATTCAGAAGCTTCATCATGAAGGTCTTCTGGATTCATTTGACTTTGAGTCTCTTGAATCTTGCGAGTCTTGTTTGATGGGCAAGATGACAAAGCATCCTTTCAAGGGGAAAGGACAGAGAGCGACGGAGTTATTGGCTCTCATACATAATGATGTATGTGTTGGTTTAGTACTCTATGATGTACTGTTTGCGAGCTTTACTTGGATGCATTTGATGTATTGACGCTTTCTATGATTTATGGATTAGTGTTTCATTCATTACATGTTTTGCATACTTAAATATGTTATGAAATCAATGTATTGTTATGAACAATACTAAACTCCCTAGTCTTCCTAACTACCTCTTTCATCGTCGGATTCAATCTACGCTGATGCTCAACAGAGGATTTTGACTCATCATCTAAGTGAATTCGATGCATGCATAACGAAGGGCTAAGTCCCTTAATATCATCCAAAGTATATCCAAGAACACCCCTATAACGTCTAAGCAAATCACTCAACTGTTCCACCTGGGGTTCGAGCAATGCAACATTCACTATAATCGGATAAGTCGAGTTAGGTCCAAGGAAAACATACCTGAGCCCTTCGGGTAAGGGCTTCATCTCCACCTTCGGGGCGCTCTCTAAACTCCAATCAGCTTTATTCAGCGTCCCCGTGCTAAGTGATGGCTCTCTGGGCTCTAGAACGTCTTTAATAGTCGTCGTGGAGGGTTCGGAGAGGTTCCGGGCTGGCTCGGTGTCGGTGGTG